AACCGATGCTCAACTTGCTTGACGCATCAACACACAATGCTCAACAATCCCGCCTGATGCATCACCACTACAAGCTGTAGGGCGCTACAAGCTGTAGGGGCTCTGTATGATTTCCAGCATACAGAGGTGGTACAAGAGCTACTATTGGCCACAGCGCCTACCCAATTTTTGAACTTGAATCAATAATCAGTGCTCAACACTCCCGCACACCCCCAAAAACTCTTACAGAGTTTAAGCGGCAAAGCCACAGCGCTACAAGCCGTAGGGACTCTGCATGACTTACAACCATGCAGAGGTGGTAACTGATGGTTATCATTGGCTCCGACGCCTACCCGAAACATTTTTGCTTTAATAAATTTTTATGCAAATACATTCTCCTGGTCCTGCCCTCACACTGAGTTATTCACTATGTATATACATAATCTATTTAGTCAAAACGCTTTTGTTATTCACTTTGTTTACAGTAAAATTTAGCGTTAAGCTGAAACTTCATAAACAAGCGTGCAGACATTTAAAATTAATTTGAAGTATCTTTCAAAAAAGTGGAAGCATTCAAACGAAAAAATTTTTTTCTTTCAGTTTTCAACATAAATAAATAGCAAACTATTGCTTTTCTAAAAAATCACGGACAGATCTCTCATTAAAAAAAAAAGAAACATAAAAGTGGTTCATACTTGGGCTCTAAAAATTGACTTGTCCACAGTTACCTTTTTTGTCCCGCATTTTTTAATCTATTGAAACCATAAAAGCTAATACCATGTTCTGACCGACATCGAAAACATGTTTTCGTTGCTAAAACTGGTTTTCGACCTAAAACACGTGTTTTCGTTCACGTAAAATCTGTCAAACGAAAACCAGTTTTCGCTGAAAACTACTTGAAAGCTCACGTTCCACTCATTCCAATCGGTGTCTTCACTAATTTTTTTCGATTATTTATCGAAGTGGAAGTCGTATTTTCTCATCTTTAATACGCTATTTCGTATTTATTGTTAATTGGCTAGCCAAACTAAAATAAGAATGAAAGTAAGAGGTTGCTAATGAAAAGAAAATGTGGGAAAAGCATTTTGGTTTTGTGTCTGTGTAGCAAAACTGCAGTCAGAGGATGTAAGAAATGTCAACGAAAACACTAACGGCCGGTGTGAACAGCCTTCAGCCCACAATTCCAAAACTCGTTTTCAAAGTGTNAGGCCACTGTGATCAATTACGGCTAAATCAAGCAACTTAAATGTATTTTAACTTAATATTTTATTGAATATACCTTTCTAAACAGCGTCCATTTTCGTGTGCTTCACACTACACATTTCTCCTCTTTGCAGTAATAAACTAGAAAACTACGTTGGACACCAAAAAGTTATCGAAATATTTCGTAATTACAGATTACTGGAGTANTGACAATAACCAATGGGAAAGGGCGAAGAAAAGCCGAACTCGACTCTCGAACCACACTCGTACTCGAAACGAGGCTGAATCAGCTGTGTTTCGTTGTTTTTCTCACCACTTACGGAAAAGCTAAATTTCTTCGCGAGGCCACTGTGATCAATTACGGCTAAATCAAGCAACTTAAATGTATTTTAACTTAATATTTTATTGAATATACCTTTCTAAACAGCGTCCATTTTCGTGTGCTTCACACTACACATTTCTCCTCTTTGCAGTAATAAACTAGAAAACTACGTTGGACACCAAAAAGTTATCGAAATATTTCGTANGTTATCGAAATATTTCGTAATTACAGATTACTGGAGTAGTAACTTATTATAATCCCTACAGCGAATATTATTAGTTTTAAAATTGTGATAGAATATTTTTTATTAAGAATCGCTTACAAAGCAGAATACTGTCATTGTAAAGCTAATAAAGGAACAATGCAACCTACTTCGAACACAAGAAAAGCGCATGCAGGAAAAATTGGATCAGCCACCGGTGAGCGCAAAACCATTTGTAACTATGTTCCCGATAAATTCACAGGAGGAATTAGAGTCAGTCGAAAAAACTTTATCGGAAGACAACAAAAATGAATACGTAAGCAAGACATGGTAAGATTACTCCGTTACACGGCAATTAATCATTCTTACATAACAATAGATCGCAGTTGCTAAGGCCCTATTGACCCCGGGAAGTTTTAAAAAGAATCTCAATAAAATATTGGGAGTGGACGTGATTTTGGATTACAATGTTGATGGCAAACACAACAAGAAGCGTATACAGGATTATCCAAAAATAATGGACGTGCTCTTTCGTGAGTTTAAAAATTTAAAGTAATTGTTTCATTAGATTACATAAAAAAATGTTTTTTTCGCAATTTAGAAGCTACTACTAAAGAAGGCTGGAACTACAAATATTTTCTTGACGATCTTAGAAATGGATTTAAATGCGCTAGAAAAAAGCATTCCAAATATAATTGGTCACAACGGAGGAAGCATACCGAAGGACCTTCTATAAAAATTGAAGAAGTTTTGATACCGTTCAATGAATAAAAACTTAATTATACCAAAAAAATTCTAATTTTCGGTTTAATTGGATTTTAAGTAATTGGTAAATAAGTGGGATATTTTACGCTACGGATTCACTCGAAAGAATCTAAATAAACAGGGTTGGCAATCTCACTTTCTAAGTTAAGGCTTCTGTTGTTCCCAAAAGATGAGCTTTGTAATATCCAACTGAAAATAAGTAAAGTTTTCCTGATATTGTGAATCCATTTGTCACAGAGGAAAAAGTTAACAGTTTTTTCTATATTTTCTTTAGATT